ACAGTGAAGGCGAAGGAAGGTCAGCTTGCGATTACGGGCCTGAGCCCGAGGAGCTGAGAGAGTCGGATATTGAGGAGAGCGATGAGGAGCAAGCTACGCTGAATAGTGGTGAGATTTTCGATTATCTTGCATCAAAAAAGAACATCAAGTGGAGGCATAGACAAATAAATAACACAATACCAACGGATTTCTTGCTACCAATAAATTTAGATCCCGCCGTGCAAGATCTTCTTGATTACTATCATAAATATGTTCCTGTATGGCTTTTTGAACAAATGGCTGAAATGATAAACCTTTATGCTGTGCAATCAGGAAAAACCAGGTATAATCTTATGTCCAGCAATGAAATAGAATTTTTATTTGGTTTACATATGGTAACGGGAGTATTCAACTATCCAGTTTTGAGAATGTATTGGGAAAACCACGTTAGCATACCTCTTTTTACTAACAATATGGCAAGAGATAGATTTTCACAGACTCTTGTAACGGTTTACTTAACCTCTATTAACGATAGTTATAATTTTAAAATTACTTAAGTCTTAAATATTTGATTCTAATCTAACAACAGAGAAAAAAGAACAATAATACGTGTATGTACAAAATAAACTTAACTATCTTATAATCAAATAATATCAACTTAAAAACTGAATATAAAAAAATAAATAAAATATTCTAATAAAAATTAATAATAAATAAATACCAAAGCAAAGTCAAGACAAAGCGCTTGTATGTTAAACCTATTGTTCGTGCGCTCGCGCATCGTCGACCGAACCTGCAAGCCGGTTTCTTAACGGCGAGTCACAATTTTTATACTACCGCAGAGTAAAGACGGATTCTCGTCAGTTGAACTATTTTTCTAAGCTGTTTTGCTTACTACCGAAATTCAAAACTATAATTTAAATATCAACTTCAAATTAAATACAGTTATTGTGATAATTATTCCCCATATTAAGGGTAAGTGTTGCAAAGAAACCTTATAACATAATGTAATTTTCTTGCTGTAGTTTTAGCTGTGTAATGCAAATCACTCATTTTATTAAAGGTCACCTTCACTTATATGGCATAGTTTCATCATACAATTGAACTTGCTTTCTTTTAGATTTGTATATTTGCCTATGAAGATTTTAATGTTTTAATGTGTGTTATATTGAATTGGGCGACCTTCATCTTTAATATTCTAAATTAAAACATATTGGATACCTATTGTTAGATTTATCTAGAAATAAGTATTTATTGGACAGTGTTTCGTGAGACCTCTACTGTTTTAAATTAAATGCGTTTATTAATAAAGCAATTACAGAAATAGGTCTCACGAAATAATTTTGTAGGATTTTTTTTTATGAGTACCTACCTGTAATAATTTTCATTATTCAAATTTTATTGTCTCATCATTGATCACTATTTCATGCAATTAGTTTACCATCTGCACCTGTAGTTCGCTTCGCTTCTCCAGCTCTACGGCTGCAGTTTCATCGATGCGTTATAATAGTGAACAATATTAAAATACCCGCTGTTACGCTATTCCAGGGTGCACCCCTACAGCAAGGCCGATTGGATATAGCTTTGGAGAAGGCCATCTCCTAGTACATCACGCCGTGGACGGACTCCTCCTTTACCAGGGCAGTGGTATTCTCGAATTTTTTATTGCGCATCCGATTGTCGAATAACGAATCCACCCCCATGTTAATTGTAATTATTAATAAATTGTAAAACTGTATAATTTATCTCATTTACTATTTCCATCAAACCGGCACACTCTTTTTATTAAATGTAAATCAGTAGTAAAACATCTAATAAAAAGAGTCGGTGAGAGTAGAGGTCATGAGTTGTACTGCGATAATTACTTCTCGTCTTATTACATGCTCCAAATTCTGAAACGCAAAGGTATAATGGCTACGTGTACAGCCCGTGTCAATAGATTTTCAAGGCCACCATTTCTCAGTGACAAAGATATAAAAAAGAAACCAAGGGGTTTTGCTGAAGAGATTTGTAGTACGGATGGGGATATTACTATGGTAAAATGGCTTGATAACAAGCCAGCCAACTTAGCATCCAATTTTATTGGCATAGGAGAAAAAGATATGGTGAAAAGATGGTCCAAAACAGAGAAGAGATTTATAGAAGTTGAGAGGCCTGAAATCGTGAAGAAGTACAATCACGCCATGGGAGGGGTTGATCTCCTTGATCAACTTATGAGTTATTACAGGACCTTCGTAAAGTCGAAGAAGTGGTCTTTGCGGATGATATTTCATGCATCAGATCTGACAGTTGTTCAAGCCTACCGTGAGTATGATATGGATAATGACTTGCTTGGGATACCAAAAGCAAAACGGCTCACACTTCTTCACTTTCGTCGACACCTAGCTGAAAGTTTAGTTCTCCGAAACAAAACCCAAGTAGCACAAAAAGCTGAATAAAGGGTGAATAATGGCATTTTCAGATGCTTTAAGCAGCATAAACTTGCCATAAAAAAGAATTTTAAGCACTTAAAATTCCATTACAATGCTGATTTGGGCACAAATCTTAGTGCCTTAGGCTTACGCGGGTGCCAAAAGGCATTAAAATAGCATTGTAATGGAATCAACAAGGTACACAGTGACGATTATAGCCGTATAGTAGTACTAAAAAGGCACCGTAATGGAATTTTAGCATTCTTTAGCCCCTAAAAAAGTCTAACTTCTACCCATTACAATTCTTAAAGCGCAATAGTGTCGTATATGCGGTGTATTTTATAAAGTTCTTTTTTTTTACATTCAAAACATTTGTGTGATGTGCAGCAGCAGTGACTGTGATAAAACAGAGGTGCGACGCCATTAACTGTAAGTGTTCATGCGAAACGGGCACATCCCTATACGACGCGGGCGCACGCAGCGCCGCTCTCAGGATATTTTAGGAGTCTCACCCAAGCCGTCTTAAAGCATGGTCACGCACGGCGTTGCAGCCGCATTAGTTAGTAATAATTACGATTTATCGCGTCGCGCGCCATACTTAATATATAATAAGTGATATCGATGATCTGATGTAACTAAAAGGTGTAATGTTGCTTACAAATGTAATACATTACAATCGGTGAGACGCCATATGTACATGTAATAATACTGAGGGGAAAATTAAACATGTATAGAATACGAGAAGCATCGTTTTATTGACGAATACCAGGAGCGAGGCACCCTAGATCGTCAACGTAGAGGAGGCACTTCCTCTACCTACCAAGCCACCACAAGCACGAACCCGCACCTCTTCGAGCGGCACGACGGAGCGGACGAGTTACTCAAAAGGGTACCGAGAACGAGTCCACCGCACCCGCAACAGTAAGTATTATTAAATTTGTTAATATTGTATTGGGTGTTAGATGGTTAATACGTGAAATAGTCTTGCGGAGGCAAGTTTACTGTTAATGTCCATATACATTTCTATTGAATTTTTTTATGCGCCTCGAATATGATGAGTATTTAGTTAAATATTATATAGAAAAAGTGCCTATGAAAAATTAAATATTTATGTTTTTGGTTGTTATGTCCACAGTTTTATATTTAGGAGACTTATATATATTTTAGAATTGTAAATTGAGCAATAGGTAATAGCTTACATCTATAGTTTACTTATAATATTTACATGAAATATAGTGTTAGGTTAGGTTTGAACGATTTAATGGCGGAGTATTTAAGCAGAATTGTAGTACGTTATAGTTCCACTACAATTCTTTTGGCTATGAAATGAACCTTTAAAATTCCTTTTTAGATTTTTTACACTTTTGATCGCTACGTATTTGTTTGGGTTTAGGGATCTGCATGCAACATGAAGGAAACCATTTTGTTAGGTAGGTATTTGTGGCGTGTTCACTCAATAGGGTCCTTATTGTCGCTCCTAGTTTCTGAGATATTACAGTTTTTATACGTTTTAGGTACGAATGTATTTACGTATAAAAGCATTTACAACTACATACCGACACGTCAGCAATGTTACAAAGAAAAGTGATTGCTTCGGAATCCAATACGGACGACGAAACAAATTAAAAAAAAGTTCTACACGCCAGAAATAATCTCCCAACCGAAGAATGCTCAAGACTTTGAATATCACACATTAAGTCACAGTCACAAATAAAAACTCCTTTTGAATGAGAACGCCACATTTACAGTAATCAGTATACATTACAATTCCTCAGTATAATAAAACCTAACTAAAATGGTTACTAGAAGAATAAAAGAAAAAAGTGTCCAAATCACTTCATGTCATAATTATAATATTAAAATTTTATATTAACTTATCAATGCTGCCAGCCACTGCAATAAAAAGATCTCATTCACTCGAATAAGCAAATACGATAGAGGGAGGTACAAATTTTCAATCGTTCAGAATTGAGATCCTGTAACGGCTCATAAGTTGTATTAATATTTACTGAGAACTTCTTTGTTCGCACACATCTTACTCTCCCAAAGTAGTGTCAATATTTTTTTCGTAAAATGTTAAATATCTAACGCGCGAGTGATCGATCTACTGTGCACACGCACTCTGCATTGACGCCTCCCCCGTCCCCCGCCCTAGTTCAATCCATCTCTGTCAATCCTCTCCTTCTTTGTTGCTCTGCTCAGTCCAGTCAGTTCTCAACTTCTCAGTTCAGTTCGTGTAACACGGTCGGAGCGGGAGCACGCGTAGGCGTACATCATATTGTCTTTACTTAGTCGTAATGAGCTTAGAATCTTTGATCTTGCTAAAATACCTAAAACAAATATGTTCGAACTTATTCTCTTATTCCTCTCAGTGCTTCTGCTTAAATTTAAAACTAATAACACAAAATTAAGACAGCTAGGTATTGATCAGTCTTTGTTTAATAAGTAATAACGCTCTTTAGGTAGGTATTTGGTCACTAGGAATCGTTTTCACTAAGTGTTTTAATTAAAAAATATGCCTTTTTAGATTAAGAATGCCGTATAAAATAGTCAAAACTTCGGAACGAGGGCAACCCAGGCTAAGCATAGTGCCCAGTTTTTGGGAGGAAAATGGGAGTGCTGCGGTGGCCAAAAAAGGCTATCGTGAACAAATTAATTAAAGATGAAAACTCGAGACCGGGTGCGGACTGGACATCAATGAGCTGCACCTTAAAAAGGAACGATTTAAGATCATACAAAGAAGCCGACGACGAGCTATCCAACATGGAAAGAAACACAGATACAGAGGTCGAGGAGGCTGGTGGTGACGTGAACATGGGCTTAACGAGACAACTAATAAATTTCGACGAGTTAGCTGAGAACTTGGTAAGATATACACACTCACAAACTCGCCTTTATCGTATCAATTATTGTGAATTTTATTCATCATTCATTTACATTAGTCCAGTCCGACTATGCTTAGCGACTCGACGACGACATATTACTCAAATTCGTATACATATTTATGATGCTGGCTGTACCTATACGTACGTAACTCATATACGTAAGTAGGTATACATATATTTTACTCCTCTTTGGAGGAGCCCGACTCGCACGCGACTGGATACCATAGAGTGAATTGAATGATACTTATAATCTGTTTTTTTTAGGTATTCTTTCTACTCCTGTACTTTTATCTGTCTTTTACTTGGTCACGAACACTAATATAAGAACATACATAATATGAGTTCAGAGAAGTCTATACTCTATTCCTCATAACAGCACTAGTGTCGTTATAGTCACATTACGATACTGCCAGCAGCCACAGACTTCTAAATCTAGGTTAAACTTAGGTCAAGGATTAAGCGCTCAATTCTAACTTTACGATAAAAATGCACAACTACCAACTTAACAAACAATTAAATTCCTACGGTTTTTAAGATAAACAAAACATTCCGAATTAAATTCATTTATGCCAACATAAAAAAAAGTATTTTTAATATAGTCACTGCGTGTCACTAGCGAGTCTATTTCAAATTAAAAAAAAAGTTTACCATAGACACATACTGTCAGTCATACGTCATATTTGTCTTGTTGCAGGTAATGCTTAATTTTGTATTTTATATTTTAAAACCTAGTCGTAGAAAAAGTATTGTACCTATGCAACGTTGTATAATTAAGTCAAAAAACGCTCATTGCGTCTCTATTTGCGATACTCGCCGCTATCGCGGATCGTATCGCAAAGCCTAAAATGCTTATTTTTGTTGGCTATGGTGACACCTCAAAAGGTTATCGTCTCGCTGACCCGCAGAACCCTAAAAAGGTTGTTTTTTCTAGAGATGTCGCTTTCCTAGAAGACAAATTTTATTCAAAAGACAGATTGGATGATGGTGATGAGAGGAGAAAGCATTTTATTTCATTTGACTCTAATAACTATTATTATTATGATGAGGATTGTAATAGTAACTGTGATAACTTAAATACAAATTCCTCTAGTCAATTAATAAATAGTAAATTAAATTCTAGTCAAGAAATAACTAATAATGAATCAAATAATGAAATTAATTTGAATAATGAATTAAATAATGAAATTAATATTAATGAGGAATATTATTCAAATGATGAAATTACTAGTGATGAGTCTAAAAATAATTCCTTTGGTTTTTCAGATGAAGACTACCAGTCTCCGCTATCTGATCAGTACAGCACCGGCAACGGTGACGGTGATGAATGCTGGAGTCCTGTCAGGGATGTCACTGCCCGTCTCCCGTCGGCTGCTTCTGGAGGAGGAGGTGTAACTGGCCCAGAGTTGTCTGAGGCTGTGCACTCTCGTCCTGTGCGTAGTACTAGGGGCAAAATTCCCTCAAAGTATGGTGATTATGACTTATCTAGTATGTTAGTCGAACAGTGTTCACACAGTGAACCTGCGTCATATCAGGAAGCTATGAGTTCTTCAGAGAAGAATGAGTGGTTAAGTGCCATGAGAGATGAATACAATTCTCTTATTCAGAATCAAGTGTGGAGCCTCGTTGATCGTCCTAAAGATACCAATATTATAAAATGTAAATGGGTATATAAGAAGAAACATGATGCGACAGGCCAGTTCGACAGATATAAGGCTCGCCTTGTTGCTCGAGGTTTTACTCAGAAACAAGAGGTTGATTACAGCGAGACTTTCTCACCAGTCGTACGCCACTCGACATTAAGAATTCTCTTTGCTTTGTCTAACGAATTAAACTTACGAATTGATCACATAGATGTCGCCACCGCGTTCCTCAACGGTGAGCTTAACGAAAAGATATACATGGAACAACCAATAGGTTTTAGTAATGGTGATCATAGTAAGGTATGTTTATTAAATAAGAGTATATATGGTTTAAAACAGACATCTAGGATGTGGAATGTTAAAATTCACGATTTTCTAGTTAAAAATAACTATGTTCAGAGCAAGTGTGAACCATGTGTTTATATAAAGAAAAGTGATAAAGAGTATATAATTATCGCATTGTATGTGGATGACTTTTATATATTTCATAATGGATGTTTGCATACTGTGTTACCATTGTTACAGAAACAATTTAAACTATGACATCTCGGTGCTCTGAAGAGTTGTCTAGGTATTAACATAACGAGAAAAAAAGGTATTCTAATACTTGAGCAATCTCAGTATGTAAAACGATTATTAGAAAGATTTAACATGGTCAACTGTAAGCCTATTTCCACACCAATGCCAACTAATTGTAAATTACAAAAAGAAGATAAATGTCTTGAGGATGATGTGTACCAATACAGACAGTTATTAGGTAGTTTAATGTATTTATCAGTATGTACTCGTCCTGACATATCTTTCGCCTGTAGTCAGTTGAGTCAATTCAATAATTGTTTTGGGCTAAGTCATTGGCAGGCAGCAAAGCGTATTCTACGTTATTTAGCAGGAACTGTAAACTATGGTTTATATTTTGTTAAAAGTAAACAAATGCATTTATGTGCATACGCTGACGCTGATTGGGCTAATGATTTGACCGATAGAAAATCTTACACTGGTTTTGCTATTAAGTTTGGTCAAAACTTAATCAACTGGGAAGCCATAAAACAACGGTCTACTGCATTGTCTAGTACAGAGGCGAAGTATCTTGCTATTGCAGACGTCTGTAAAGATATTTGTTTTGTCAAAAATTTCTTGTCGGAAATCATAGATAAAACTATTAATGTAATAGTATTTAATGACAATCAGAGCGCCCAAAAGTTGTTAGTTAATAAAGAGTATTCTCACAACAAGACTAAACATATTGATCTTCGTTATGACTATGTGAAAGATTTGGTGCAAAAACATTATCTCAGTGTAAGATATTTACCTACAGAACGAATGATAGCTGATGTATTTACCAAGCCCTTATGTAATCAAAAACATTACAGTTTTGTTAATGACCTGAATGTAAGATGTGTTAATTAAGAACAAAATTGTATGTTTCATTGTTAAAGGTTTGTATTTTATAAATGACTGTATTGTATGTAATTGCAGTTTAAAAGTAGAGTCATAATGTCTTGTATGTACTATGTAGAGTCAAAATTTTAATTTTTTTTGATAATGTAGAGCATTGTAGAGACATTTAAGATACTTTATTGACATGGTATAGTCGATGTAGAGCATGAAGTTTTTTTTTAAGATATGTTTGTGCATTTTGCGGCCATGTTAGTATAAGGAGGAGTGTTAGAATGGGCGGTATGGTATACTTCCATAGCCTTAGTAAAAACATTGAAGTGTCAATGTGACTTATTAATTGAAGTGTCAAAAACGTTTGTTCGGTCTATTCTCTCTCTTCCTCACGGCCATCTTACTCGAGAAGTTTGTATTGTATTTAATCTAATTCGATCAATTCACGTATATAAATTGTGTGTTGTATTGTTCGCAATATTGTTGATACAATACATAGCGGATAATCTCATTCTGTGATTTTATTTCTATTCCAACGAAGATAACTGCACACACGTTCGGCTACAGTTTTCGTACGAATTTGACTCGTGCGTTCACGTACGAACATGCACGAATAATCCCGACCTTAGAAGTACTATGGAAGCGCTCCGACTGCGTGCGAGTTAGTCGTGCGTATACGTACGTATAGTTACGACGTCAGAAACCAATCCGAACTTGTTGGGATTTTATAACTTATTCGTACGTTTTTTCTTAAGAATGGATGTAGAAACATTTATTAATTTAGTTCACAGTAAGAAATGTTTGTGGGATCAGAGTGATTTAAGTTACATAACCATGAAACAATTCAGCATTTTTATTTAAGTCTTCCATAATATGATGAAATTCGCCGAAATCATTTCTTTTCAAATATATTTCACGCACCCATTCGGATCTTCGACAGCGACGACGTTGCCGCAGTCTTCGAGTAATAAGAGAATTATCTTGAAGGTAAAGATTATTCATCGCGCTTCAACCTAAGAGGACTTAACGAATGCAATATCACCGGAATAATTATTTGTAGACGGACAAACACGTATTCAGTGTGAACACTCACTTCGTACGACCACATTCGTACGTTTACGTACGATACGAATTCGTGTCCAAAGTGAGCGTAGCCTTATGTATACATATTTTGGAACTTTGTGTGGGTATTTATCTTTGACCTTGGCTGTACTAAATTGCTCATTTTCAATCTATATCTAGCACACAAATAAATAAAAATAAGAGAATATTTGATTGTGATGACTTTAATTCCTTTGATTTTGCAGTTTTTTCACATCATAGTAATTATTATGTGTTATAATGTATGGTACAATTTTAGTTTACTTTTTGTATGTAGAGGTTTACTTGCTAGTTTCGTTGATTTCCAGTACTTAATATAAGTTAGACTTCAGCGACACACGATTTCTAATTGACAGTTTTAAATAAAGGTATTCATGCCACACTTGGCCATAAAACGTTGGTTAGCAAAACGTAATGTTATCAGATCATCTTATTCAAAATCGTGTCTCATTGAAACTGTCTACACTGACCTAAAAAAAATCACATATACTTAGTATAACATGTTCATTTAATTTTTATTTTATTTTTTCTTACAGTGCTAATGTATGTAACAATGGTACAAAATAAAGATAATTATTCTGTTCAATACATACTAGTTTGCTTTTTACATGTAGTGGGTGAAGTATTATTTGCAAATGCTGTCGGGCATCAATTTTGGCTTTGTAGATATTAAGACGCGATGATTTTATAGGATATGTAAAAACATCTTCTTTGTGGGATAATCTTAAACATTTTTTTGAAATCACCTTAGTTTCATCTTTCACACTTTTTATTTCAACGATTTCATCCTGAGTTGTCAAGAAATACTTGTCATTTTTCTTCGGTGAAAGTATAAATTGTTGGAAATGAAGTATGTTATAGTTTGATTTTTTATTTTTTGCTATAAATGGAGGCTCACCTTTTTTATCATTCTTATGAAAAGTAGCAATCCTATTTTGATTAGTATCTTCACCTAGTCTCTTGGCTACCTGAGACAATGGATTTTTACCACCTCTTAGCAATCGCTTGATCAAGTACAACTTATTCTCGAATGGATAAGCATTGAATGTATTTAGAGGTCCAAGTTTTTCAACTTCGGCAGTAATATGAAGAATATTGTGAACATTACTTGTTACGTAATCTACGCCATAGAAGTCTTTATAATGTTCTACGAAATCCATTAAAAGTTTTTCTGCTAGTGGAAGCATTATTATTTGAGCAAATAGTATTGCCACAATATAACATTTCTCTATATCATATCTTTTTAATATAAAACAAGCTAATTTAGAATATGAATTCACCGTAGACAGAGAAAGCAATAGACTAATGGTATGTTCTATCTCATTCATCGGGAAATGAAATGA